TGGCAGAGCAGTTTGCACCGTACGGCAGTGGCGGTGGTGCCTGGCAGAGGCCTGGGGGTCCCAGCCTGCCCGCTCGGGTGGTAGCGTTGCTGGGGTGGGTGTTCTGCTCACACGCTGCTCCTCTCCTCAGGCTCAGCGTACTATGATAACGTCCGTCCCTTGGCCTACCCGGACTCGGATGCTGTGCTCATCTGCTTTGACATCAGCCGCCCGGAGACCCTCGACAGCGTGCTCAAGAAGGTGAGTGCCCGACGTGCTCGTGCCTGCTGAGATGGGTCCTCTGCAGCAGCACCTTGTCCCTGCTCCCGGGGACTGCCATCAGGGCTAAAAGCCTTGGCTGGAGTTAAGGTGTGGATGGATACAGGGAGGATGGTTGTGCTCCGATGAGGATGGTCAGCAACTGCTGCTGATCCCTCCATGGGCCGCAGAAAGCGAGGTATTTCCATTTGAAAGGAGCCCAGTGAATGGGAGCTGGCAGCACGGAGAGGGGGAGGTCTGTGCGTATGCACACATACAAATGTGTGGACAGAGAAATGTAGGGCATTTGTTCTGTTTTTCCTGAAGACCTTGGAAAGTGGTGTACATCTCCTGTTAGCATAACCACCAGTGAGTGTGCTCTGGATTGCTTGCAGCAGTCGAGACGGGGCCCCTGGTGCTGTTTCCAGCAAGTGGAGAGCTCCATTTTTGGGCTGTCCCCTCAGTTCAGCGTCTGCACAGTAAAAAAGACAGCAGTCACTTCCCGATAGCTTGACAAGAAGAAGAATGAGCTGTGGCACTGAATCTCAAGGCCGTGAATGAATCAAGTGAGGTGGCACAGTGCCACTGGGCTGGATGGCACGTGGGGCCCTGAGCACCGTCCGCCCTGGCAGAGCTCCTGGCCATGCTCTGCGGTAGCAGCACAGTTCTCTACCCACAGGTTAGCACCTTCCAGCACAGCAGATGCCTCCAGCCGGCAGGTCCCCACCAGCCTCCCGGCCACTCGCATCCCTTGGTCTGTCTGTACCCTGCTTCCTGCCGTGGAACCCGGGAGCCGTGGTTCGGCTGAGCTCGTGGCTGCGCAGTGAAGCTGCCGAGCGCTCACTGGCGCTGTCTCCGTTCCCAGGGCTGAGTTTTCTCTGGCATCTCCTTGTGAAGCTCTGAGACCGCAGCGTGACAAGCGCGACAGAGCAGTGACTGCTGAGGCTGTTCTCCCCACTGAGCCCCGGGCTGCTGGGCTGGGCGGCCACTGTCCGAACGAGTCGCATTGTACCAACTGCCCCCTTTGGCCTCTCCACGTCTTGCCAAACGTTGTGCTGAAGCAAGTGCCTCTTATTCAGTTGCTGGGAGGGCTGAGAAGTGGGTCTGTGTCTCAGAAGTGTCCTGGTGAGGGGACAAAGACCCTTCAGATAACTTGGTCAATGGCTCAGTGTTCGTTTCCGAAGCAGGGCCGGGGTACAGAGTGCGCTGGGTGGAAGGAGGCATTTCATGTGGACTGAAAGAATTCACAGCTCAGCTTGGGAGTCAGCAGAATAATAATGCAGGCAAATCACTTGTACCTTAACGAGATGCAAACCCATCAGTAATTAGCTGGGGCTGGGATTTATTTATGTCTCTCTGCGCACTCTTCATGTGAGTCCACGCTGCTCAGTGCATGGTCTTCCCTGCGCAGCCTCACAGATGCTTTGGGTGCTGTTAGGCAATGTCTTTTTGATACAGGGACTTAAAATAAAACCTAATTCACAGGGGATTTCTTAAGTGCCTCTGAGTAGATGCCTTGTTTCCTTTGGTGCAGGCTTGCAGCCTATGGAGGTGAGGAAAATTCCTAAGACACCATGAAGTTGAAACGGGTTTTAGCTTTTGATATCGGGCGAAGAAGGAAAATAACACCCCCTGTTCAAGCCTCAGGCAAAAATGCTAATTCAGCAGAGGAAATCTTTATTATTATCGCTGCCTTGGTGGTGCCTGGGCTGCCTGCACAACGTGTACACTTGAGGGGAAGGAGAATGCAAACAAGCAGCTCTTCATTTCACACAAAGCAGGTTTTCGTGGGGTGGTGCCCTTGTTCTGACAAGTCTCCACAGCGCAGCAAATCTTCCGCTCCCCCCAATGTCAGTCATGTGAGAGGAGGGTCGCACCTCTCTCCGTGCACTGGGAGCTTGTATCGTCACAGAGAGCTGTGACCTCTGCCTGGTAAGAACAGACCCTGTAGCTTAGTCCCTTGGAGAGTTTTCACCCTTCGGGTAAATGGGGGTGCTTGAATTCCTGCTCCAGAAGAACCGCATCCTCCTCCTCTTGTGGCTATGTTGGCTCTTGACACCAGGAGCTGCGCAGCTGGTGTGCTGGGGACGTGTGTGAGTCCTGGTGGCTGGAGGTCCCTGGCAGCAGGGATTTGAGTTCATCGTGAAGGTACTCAAGCCCATCTCCTGGTATTTTGCAGTTGCTTTGGTCTGATATTGGTTGAATGAAACTTGGGTTGTTCTTGGCACTGCCTTTCACCACCGGCTTATGGACACTGGGCTGTGAGCTTGGTTTTCTTTCCCCTTCTAATTGCCTAGAGCACATGCTTAACCATCAGTTAGTGCAGCAGGAAACTGCTATTTCCAAGTGACATCTTTAGCCAGGGGTAATCTCCATTTATCATCTGCCTCCTCCTTTAGAAGCAGTCCATAAGCAACCAGGGTGTTGACAGGCTGATGGGGCTGGATGGGTCTGCCCTGGGGGAGGTCACAGGTGATGGGTTTATTTACTGCTTTGGACACTTAGCTGCAAATTGGGCATTAACTTCTGGAGCTCTGAAAGAAACCCTTGGTGCAAAGGAAGTGGATGTTTGCCGTGGCCTCCTCCCCCCATTGCTTCAGTTCCTGATTTCCCTGGCTGTAGTTATGCTCCGAATATCGTAATGTCTTTAACAGCAAACGATGAGTGTGCAGTGCAAAGAGCTCCCCATGACCGTGGCTCAGGAGGTCCAGCGAAGTCGACCTTTGCTGTCCCAGATCTGGATGATGCTGTGCAGTAGGAGCTGAAGGCACGGCTCTCCTGGCCTGTCCTACACTCCAGGCCTGGGGGATCTTGGATGGGGCTCTTGGCCTGGTTGAGAAGGGTCTGGAAGTGTTGAGCTGAGGCCCTGACGTTGCTGCTGCTGTTACAACCTTGTTGGTTTTACAGGCTGCCAAAACTAACGTTACTTGGAGGTGCCACTGGGCTCTTCAAGCATCTCATCCTTGAGCACCTTCTCCCTCTTGTCTCCTCTGCAGTGGCAAGGGGAGACTCAGGAGTTCTGCCCCAACGCGAAGATCGTGCTGGTGGGCTGCAAGCTGGACATGCGGACGGACCTGAACACGCTGCGGGAGCTCTCCAAGCAGCGCCTCATCCCTGTCACACACGAGCAGGTACGTTCAGCAGCCGCCCCGCTGGGACTGCGCTGCGGGACCTCCTGGGCAGGGCAGCTCAGCAGCAAATGACCCACCATGCCCAGGTCTTAGCCTGAAGCCTGTTTATATTGGCACATGGACGCTGAGCTGCTAGTGCTTACAGCGCTCTTCCCCAGCTCTGGCAGGCCTTATCCTATCCCTGGTGCTCTGCACAACAGCTCTTGTTAGAGCTGGAAAGTCTTCCCTCAGATGCGGTGGAGATGCCTGATTTGACAAGTTGGGCTGGCTAAAGGGGAGCGTTGTGCTTCTGCAGCTCCTTCAGCTCTAAGCGATTCTCCTGTTGGGGCAACACTGCCAGGGAGGGG